ATGGGTCCTCAGATCCTCAAAAGGTTCTACAGCTGCACCATCGACAGTATCCTGACTGGTTGCATCACTGCCTGGTATGGCAACTGCTCAGCCTCCGACCGGAAGGCACTACAGAGGGTTGGCTACCCAGACTATTTGCGGTGGATATTGCTCGTCCGCCTGCCGCTAACTCCAGCAGGCTTGTAAATGCATTTGGCTAGAAGAACAATGCTGAAACATTAATTACTTTACATTGACATTTTAGTCATTTAGCAGACGCTCTTATCCAGAGAGACTTACAATTAGGGCATTCAAGTTAAGATAGCTAGGTGAGACAACATATTACAGTCGTATATAAGTAACAACAACAGCAGGGCTGGGCGATATATCAAATGGATTAGATTAATTATAGTGCGTGTTTTTGCGTGATATTCCAAATGTTTGTTTCGCAAGAATCCATTTTCTTTTTTCCTGAGTGTTTATGTTGTCTTTTTGGTCTCATCTCCTTCACTCCACTGTGCTGTGCCCCTCCTCCTGACACCAAGCCCCTCCTCCTGTGTGCACTTCCCCATTTAATAATATAATAATAATATGCCATTTAGCAGACGCTTTTATCCAAAGCGACTTACAGTCATGCGTGCATAAATTTTTGTGTATGGGTGGTCCCGGGGATCGAACCCACTACCTTGGCGTTACAAGCGCCATGCTCTACCAGCTGAGCTACAGAGGACCACAATTTACACCAGAGATCTATATATAATGACGAGATGCTCATGTCTCCGCCATAACAATGGGAGTCGTTGTCCCAAAGGAGGGAAGGCAGGCGACAAGCTTAGGTTCAACATAAGGGCATAGAAACGTATTGGGCTTACAGTGCATTCGAAAAGTATTCAGACCACTTGACTTATTCCAAATTTTGTTACGTTACAGCCTTATTCTAAAATGGATTAAATAAATAAAAATCCTCAGCAATCTACACACAAAACCCCATAATGACAAAGCGAAAACAGGTTTTTTGAAATGTTCGCTAATTTATTAAAAATAAAAAACAGAAATACCTTATTTACATACAGTGGGGAGAACAAGTATTTGATACACTGCCGATTTTGCAGGTTTTCCTACTTAAAGCATGTAGAGGTCTGTAAATGTTATCATAGGTACACTTCAACTGTGAGAGACGGAATCTAAAACAAAAATCCAGAAAATCACATTGTATGATTTTTAAGTAATTAATTTGCATTTTATTGCATGACATAAGTATTTGATACATCAGAAAAGCAGAACTTAATATTTGGTACAGAGACCTTTGTTTGCAATTAAAGATTAATTAATTAAATTAAATTAAAGAAAATCCAGAAAATCACATTGTAGGATTTTTAATGAATTTATTTGCAAATGATGGTGGAAAATAAGTATTTGGTCAATAACAAAAGTTTCTCAATACTTTGTTATATACCCTTTGTTGGCAATGACACAGGACAAACGTTTTCTGTAAGTCTTCACAAGGTTTTCACACACTGTTCCTGGTATTTTGGCCCATTCCTCCATGCAGATCTCCTCTAGAGCAGTGATGTTTTGGGGCTGTCGCTGGGCAACACAGACTTTCAACTCCCTCCAAAGATTTTCTATGGGGTTGAGATCTGGAGACTGGCTAGGCCACTCCAGGACCTTGAAATGCTTCTTACGAAGCCACTCCTTCGTTGCCCGGGCGGTGTGTTTGGGATCATTGTCATGCTGAAAGACCCAGCCATGTTTCATCTTCAATGCCCTTGCTGATGGAAGGAGGTTTTCACTCAAAATCTCACGATACATGGCCCCATTCATTCTTTCCTTTACACGGATCAGTCGTCCTGGTCCCTTTGCAGAAAAACAGCTCCAAAGCATGATGTTTCCACCGCCATGCTTCACAGTAGGTATGGTGTTCTTTGGATGCAAATCGGCATTCTTTGTCCTCCAAACACGACGAGTTGAGTTTTTACCAAAAAGTTATATTTTGGTTTCATCTGACCATATGACATTCTCCCAATCCTCTTCTGGATCATCCAAATGCACTCTAGCAAACTTCAGACGGGCCTGGACATGTACTGGCTTAAGCAGAGGGACACGTCTGGCACTGCAGGATTTGAGTCCCTGGCGGCGTAGTGTGTTACTGATGGTAGGCTTTGTTACTTTGGTCCCAGCTCTCTGCAGGTCATTCACTAGGTCCCCCCGTGTGGTTCTGGGATTTTTGCTCACCGTTCTTGTGATCATTTTGACCCCACGGGGTGAGATCTTGCGTGGAGCCCCAGATCGAGGGAGATTATCAGTGGTCTTGTATGTCTTCCATTTCCTAATAATTGCTCCCACAGTTGATTTCTTCAAACCAAGCTGCTTACCTATTGCAGATTCAGTCTTCCCAGCCTGGTGCAGGTCTACAATTTTGTTTCTGGTGTCCTTTGACAGCTCTTTGGTCTTGGCCATAGTGGAGTTTGGAGTGTGCCTGTGAGGTTGTGGACAGGTGTCTTTTATACTGATAACAAGTTCAAACAGGTGCCATTAATACAGGTAACGAGTGGAGGACAGAGGAGCCTCTTAAAGAAGAAGTTACAGATCTGTGAGAGCCAGAAATCTTGCTTGTTTGTAGGTGACCAAATACTTATTTTCCACCATAATTTGCAAACAAATTCATTAAAAATCCTACAATGTGATTTTCTGGAGAAAAAAAATCTCAATTTGTCTGTCATAGTTGACGTGTACCTATGATGAAAATTACAGGCCTCTCTCATCTTTTTAAGTGGGAGAACTTGCACAATTGGTGGCTGACTAAATACTTTTTTCCCCCACTGTATTTTCCTCATTAAAATGGAAATCCATTTATAACATTTTTGACATACGTTTTTCAGGATTTTTTTGTTGTTATTCTGTCGCTCACTGTTCAAATAAACCTACCATTAAAATTATAGACTGATCATTTCTTTGTCAGTGGGCAAACGTACAAAATCAGCAGGGGATCAAATACTTTTTTCCCTCACTGTAGCTGGATACTCACTAGAACATGGGCTTGTGCGTTCATTTTCTATAATGCCTGCTACAAGAAGTTAGTCATTTAGAAGTGCAGTATTTATTTTATTAGGCTACTTATCGTTAATACAGTCTTTGGTGTGCTTATCAATGCATGATCACCTTTTCTCCCACTCCTATCGATAAGAGAATGACTAAGTCATACAAAAGTGTTACTGTGGTGGTTTCAAATGCATTCTGTCATTACTAAATGCATTCTGTCATTACTAAATGTGTAATGTGATAGGTATTTTATAATTTATGCCATGCATTATACTGTACATGTTTTTGTGTTCTATGTGACTATGTGTTGCTATGGGTTTTGTATCTATCAACCCGTCATGAAGTTCCCTCTCAGGAAATACAAGTGATTTGAATTTAAGCTAAAGATTGGAAATTAATTGAACGACGGCGGGGTCTCATTTCAAACACTTTAGCCGTTTGTCAGTGACAACAACAAACTTTGAAGTTTGCGATACAACACAAACAGATCTGTGATAAAGCTACTACAGGCAAATGTAATGCTATAGGTAACTGCCAGAATAAAGGAAACACCAACATGAAGTGTCTTAGAGATAAAGCTACTACAGGCAAATGTAATGCTACATGTAACTGCCAGAATAAAGGAAACACCAACATGAAGTGTCTTAGAGATAAAGCTACTACAGGCAAATGTAATGCTACATGTAACTGCCAGAATAAAGGAAACACCAACATGAAGTGTCTTAGAGATAAAGCTACCACAGGCAAATGTAATGCTTTAGGTAACTGCCAGAATAAAGGAAACGCCAACATGAAGTGTCTTAGAGATAAAGCTACTACAGGCAAATGTAATGCTACATGTAACTGCCAGAATAAAGGAAACACCAACATGAAGCGTTTCAATAGAGATAAAGCTACCGCAGGCGAATGTATTGCTCCAGGTAACTGCCAGAATAAAGGAAACACCACCATAAGGTGTCTTAATAGGGTGCTGGGCCACCACGGGCCTTCAGAACAGCTTCACTGCACCTTGGCATAGATTCTACAAGTGTCTGAAACTATTGCAGGGATGTGACACCATTCTTCCACGAGAAATTCCATCATTTATTGTTTTGTAGACGGTGGTGGAAAACAGCTGTCAAGTGATTAAAAAAATGAATAAAGTTAACTCGCAGGATTTGCTGTGATTAATTGCAAATTATGAATTTGTTCAAACTGAGCCATAATTTTATTATTATTTATTTTTTTATACAAAAAAACATTACAAGATGTCTAAAAACACTGACTCGGGCAGAGAATCTCCCATAAGTGTTCAATTTCGTTGAGATCTGGTGACTGAGACGGCCATGGTATATGGTTTACGTCGTTTTCATGCTCATCAAACCATTTTATTAGGATCTCTTTTAGTCCTCATTTGGACTAATCTTCCAAGAGTCCTTAAACATTAAAATACAACTTATAATACAATCCCATGTCCACATTTAACACACTGTTACAAACAGACATAATACACTGCCATATTGACCAGATAAATACTCTCTGAACTGTTAGGCTGGTTCCTTCATCTACCACAGTCCTGCACAACCTTCACATTTATTATATTTAAGTGGTTCTAAAGTATTGTATGAATGTATATATTTAAAAGGTTTCTGGTTTGCTCAGATAAATTATTCAATTTCTGAATCTAAATGTTATTTTGCCCATTTCTCTTTCCTGCCGGGATAAGATAGATGCTGGACAATCTATTCCTAGTATTGATTGAACGTCTCTCTCTTACCAACTGAATACTGTTGTGAATGGAGTTTGGCCGTTTTAAATGGTGTACATTGTGAAAGGAAATAAACATGTTATTTTTTTCTTCAATTATCTTGTTGATTGATGACCACCTGAGAGCATTGTGAATGACAACATCTCCACCTTAAAATAATCCTTGCTGCTTTGTTTGGTGCAATCTGCAGCCTCCTCATCTCACTTTTTCATTCAGTAACCACTCGCGCACCGTGGATGGGGGCATTGTCATCCTGGAAGAGACCACTCCCATCGGGACAGAAATTATTCACCATAGGTTCAAGGTGATCACTGAGAATGGCTGTGTATTTATTGGCATTTACCTTGCCCTCTAAGGGGTTGAGTGGACCTAAACCAAGCCAGGAAAATACACCCATGCCATAACAGAGCAGGCAGAATGCGAATTTACTAAAGTGTTTGCTTTATTTTGGCAGTTACCTATAGGTCTATGTAGGCTTATTAGTTTAGTGGTTCTTAATCCTGGCCCTGGGGACCCCAAGGGCTGCACATTTTTGTTTTTGCCTTAGCACTAAACACCTGATTCAAATCACCAAAGCTTGATGATGAATTGATCATTTGAATCAGCTGTGTAGTGCCAGGGGTTAGCGTTAACTTTCACAAATCTGCATTTAAAAAACACAGACCAAAAATGTGCGTTTTTAAACCATTTCACCTGCGTTTTTTATTGAAAGGCAGCAGTGGGTTTTGCTTCAATAGAGTGATCAGGGGACGTTCAACTATAGTTTTTCATCACACAAAATAAATGAATGCAAAACAACCGGCAGAAAGCAGCTTCATTTAAATCAGACGACAACAGAAGTGCAACGCTATTTGGCTATCAGCCACATTTAGTAAATTAACTTACAATGACAGAGGAAGTTATTTTCTGCAAAGACGATGCATGGCCATAGAAAGAATGTAGTCAGCTACATTTCCTAATGTTTTGCTTGAAGTTAATCTTGCATTGTAACTTCCTACCAGAGAGAAACGTCACAGGCGAGAAGTACACGGTCAGAGTTAAGTCTGCTGATCGAATGCACAATGCCCCATTTGTGAATGCGGGAATTTGATTGGTCTAAAGATGAGAGCAAAGATTTCTCCTCATATTGGAGAAGTGCAACTGAAGCAAATAATTAGTATGAAGCCGATCAGAAAATACAAATATACGCTTTTTAGATCTGCATTTACAAAAACGCAGCAAGATATTTTCTATACGGTATCTGTTCTCTTTTCAGCGTGAAAAACACAGAATTCTGCGTTAACGCAACCTCTGAGTGCTAAGGCAAAAACAAAAGATGTGCACCCCGCACCAGGATTAAGAAACACTGGTTTAGTTTCTTGATATTTCAGCATTATTACAGTTTCTTAACAACAGTTGTAATTAAAAACACTGAATTACTTTGCCGTTACAATATAATGTTAAATAAATATAACACATTAGAAGTGAATGAAGGGTTGAATGAAGCGCTCCAGAATGGGATAATTTTGTTATATTCCAATCTGCAGTCATTCCCTACACGACCTTCATCAAGATTAGCTACCTACCATGTAGAGGTCTCTAGTGCCCAAAAGCCTGTTTTAGCATGGGCATCACCATTGAGACTTTTACAATTTGAAAGTAGTCAACTACAGTGGGGAGAACAAGTATTTGATACACTGCCGACTTTGCAGGTTTTCCTACTTACAAAGCATGTAGAGGTCTGTAATTTTTATCATAGGTACACTTCAACTGTGAGAGACGGAATCTAAAACAAAAATCCAGAAAATCACATTGTATGATTTTTAAGTAATTAATTTGCATTTTATTGCATGACATAAGTATTTGATCACCTACCAACCAGTAAGAATTCCGTCTCTCACAGACCTGTTAGTTTTTCTTTAAGAAGCCCTCCTGTTCTCCACTCATTACCTGTATTAACTGCACCTGTTTGAACTCGTTACCTGTATAAAAGACACCTGTCCACACACAATCAAACAGACTCCAACCTCTCCACAATGGCCAAGACCAGAGAGCTGTGTAAGGACATCAGGGATAAAATTGTAGACCTGCACAAGGCTGGGATGGGCTACAGGACAATAGGCAAGCAGCTTGGTGAGAAGGCAACAACTGTTGGCGCAATTATTAGAAAATGGAAGAAGTTCAAGAAGAAGGTCAATCACCCTCGGTCTGGGGCTCCATGCAAGATCTCACCTCGTGGGGCATCAATGATCATGAGGAAGGTGAGGGATCAGCCCAGAACTACACGGCAGGACCTGGTCAATGAGCTGAAGAGAGCTGGGACCACAGTCTCAAAGAAAACCATTAGTAACAGACTACGCCGTCATGGATTAAAATCCTGCAGCGCACGCAAGGTCCCCCTGCTCAAGCCAGTGCATGTCCATGCCCGTCTGAAGTTTGCCAATGACCATCTGGATGATCCAGAGGAGGAATGGAAGAAGGTCATGTGGTCTGATGAGACAAAAATAGAGCTTTTTGGTCTAAACTCCACTCGCTGTGTTTGGAGGAAGAAGAAGGATGAGTACAACCCCAAGAATACCATCCTAACCGTGAAGCATGGAGGTGGAAACATCATTCTTTGGGGATGCTTTTCTGCAAAGGGGACAGGACGACTGCACCGTATTGAGGGGAGGATGGATGTGGCCATGTATCGCGAGATCTTGGCCAACAACCTCCTTCCCTCAGTAAGAGCATTGAAGATGGGTCGTGGCTGGGTCTTCCAGCATGACAACGACACGAAACACACAGCCAGGACAACTAAGGAGTGGCTCCGTAAGAAGCATCTCAAGGTCCTGGAGTGGCCTAGCAAGTCTCCAGACCTGAACCCAATAGAACATATTTGGAGGGAGCTGAAAGTCCGTATTGCCCAGAGACAGCCCCGAAACCTGAAGGATCTGGAGGAGGTCTGTATGGAGGAGTGGGCCAAAATCCCTGCTGCAGTGTGTGCAAACCTGGTCAAGACCTACAGGAAACGTATGATCTCTGTAATTGCAAACAAAGGTTTCTGTACCAAATATTAAGTTCTGCTTTTCTGATGTATCAAATACTTATGTCATGCAATAAAATGCAAATTAATTACTTAAAAATCATACAATGTGATTTTCTGGATTTTTGTTTTAGATTCCGTCTCTCACAGTTGAAGTGTATCTATGATAAAAAATTACAGACCTCTACATGCTTTGTAAGTAGGAAAACCTGCAAAATCGGCAGTGTATCAAATACTTGTTCTCCCCACTGTACGTATTCAGACCCTTTGCTATGAGACTCGAAATTGAGCTCAGGTGCATCCTGTTTCCATTGATCATCCTTTGGATGTTTCTACAACTTGATTGGAGTCCACCTGTGGTAAATTCAATTGATTGGATATGATTTGGAAAGGCACACACCTGTCTATATAAGGTCCCACAGTTGACAGTGCATGTCAGAGCAAAAACCAAGCCACGAGGCTGAAGGAATTGTCCGTAGAGCTCAGAGACAGTATTGTGTCAAAGGCACCGATCTAGGGAAGGGTACCAAAAAATGTTTGCAGCATTGAAGGTCCCCAAGAACACAGTGGCCTCCATCATTCATAAATGGAAGAAGTTTGGAACCACCAAGACTCTTCCTAGAGCTGGCCGCCCGGCCAAACTGAGCAATCGGGGAAGAAGGGCCTTGGTCAGGGAGGTGACCAAGAACCCAATGGTCACTGACAGAGCTCCAGAGTTCATCTGTGGAGATGGGAGAACCTTCCAGAAGGACAACCATATCTGCAGCACTCCACCAATCAGGCCTTTATGGTAGAGTGGCCAGACGGATGCCACTCCTCAGTAAAAGGCACATGACAGCCCACTTGGAGTTTGCCAAAAGGCACCTAAAGACTCTCAGACCATGAGAAACAACATTCTCTGGTCTGATGAAACCATGATTGAACTCTTTGGCCTGAATGCCAAACATCACGTCTGGAGGAAACCTGGCACCATCCCTACGGTGAAGCATGGTGGTGGCAGCATCATGCTGTGGGGATGTTTTTCAGTGGCAGAGACTGGGAGACTAGTCAGGATCCTTGAGTGGCCCAGCCAGAGCCTGGACTTGAACCCAATCAAACATGAGAGGATCTGCAGAGAAGAATGGGAGAAACTCCCAAAATACAGGTGTAACAAGCTTGTAACATCATACCCAAGAAAACTCAAGGCTGTAATCGCTGCCCAGGGTGCTTCAACAATGTACTGAGTCCAGGGTGTGAATACTTATATAAATGTGATATTTCCTGTTTTTTTTTATTATAAATTAGCAAAAATGTTTAAAAACCTGTTTTTGCTTTGTCATTACTGTGTTGATGAGGGAAAAAATTATTTAATCAATTTTAGAATAACATATATTTTTTTTAATTCAAGGGGTCTGAATACGTTTCAAAGGCACTGTATTTTGGACAGATTTGGGCGAGAGTGAAACTTCACGCTTCAGCTCTTCCTCTCTGTTTACACACACAAGCCCCTCCCCCTGCCGCTCACAAGAGATCACTTCTTCCTCTCTGACATGCGGTTTCAACTCGCTCTTTGCATTTAGGTTTGGTCCAACAGAATCGGTCATATGGACACCGAAAGACATTGAGACATTATTTTACTGTAAACGAGAAGTTAAATCTTTCTAACGATACCCTTTTAATGTCTCAACTACTCAAATTGCACGCAGAGCAGACACTACTAAAACAGGAGTATCAATGAACGTTGATTCTGTAAAAGTATTTTTCAGTTTGACCACTAGCAGCATTTTAGCCAAAGACCGTTATACTAGCTGTCTAGTCTGTGTTTTATAAATGTGCAATAAGAATAAAACACAATTATATAAGGAACTGGCAGCTCGTTCTCATTCTGAGAAATAAGGTAGGCCACTTGATTTCAACATCTGAACACAGTGGACAGGCTAGCATGTTGTTCAAACAGTTGGCGATGGACAGAAGGGTGTGTTCATATCAATTCAACTGTTCAACCTTGTTCTAGCAAATAGATTCAAATTGGCTAAACTTGGCTAAACTTGAAATATAAAGATTACAATGAGGGAAAAAAGTATTTGTTCCCCTGCTGATTTTGTACGTTTGCCCACTGACAAAGAAATGATCAGTCTATAATTTTAATGGTAGGTTTATTTGAACAGTGAGAGACAGAATAACAACAAAAAATCCAGAAAAACGCATGTCAAAAATGTTATAAATTGATTTGCATTTTAATGAGGGAAATAAGTATTTGACCCCCTCTCAATCAGAAAGACTTCTGGCTCCCAGGTGTCTTTTATACAGGTAATGAGCTGAGATTAGGAGCACACTCTTAAAGGGAGTGCTCCTAATCTCAGCTTGTTACCTGTATAAAAGACACCTGTCCACAGAAGCAATCAATCAGATTCCAAACTCTCCACCATGGCCAAGACCAAAGAGCTCTCCAAGGATGTCAGGGACAAGATTGTAGACATACACAAGGCTGGAATGGGCTACAAGACCATCGCCAAGCAGCTTGGTGAGAAGGTGACAACAGTTGGTGCGATTATTCGCAAATGGAAGAAACACAAAATAACTGTCAATCTCCCTCGGCCTGGGGCTCCATGCAAGGCCTCACCTCGTGGAGTTGCAATGATCATGAGAACGGTGAGGAATCAGCCCAGAACTACACGGGAGGATCTTGTCAATGATCTCAAGGCAGCTGGGACCATAGTCACCAAGAAAACAATTGGTAACACACTACGCCGTGAAGGACTGAAATCCTGCAGCGCCCGCAAGGTCCCCCTGCTCAAGAAAGCACATATACAGACCCGTCTGAAGTTTGCAAATGAACATCTGAATGATTCAGAGGAGATCTGGGTGAAAGTGTTGTGGTCAGATGAGACCAAAATCAAGCTCTTTGGCATCAACTCAACTCGCCGTGTTTGGAGGAGGAGGAATGCTGCCTATGACCCCAAGAACACCATCCCCACCGTCAAACATGGAGGTGGAAACATTATGCTTTGGGTGTGTTTTCTGCTAAGGGACAGGACAACTTCACCGCATCAAAGGGACGATGGACGGGGCCATGTACCGTCAAATCTTTTGTGAGAACCTCCTTCCCTCAGCCAGGGCATTGAAAATGGGTCGTGGATGGGTATTCCAGCATGACAATGACCCAAAACACACGGCCAAGGCCACAAAGGAGTGGCTCAAGAAGAAGCACATTAAGGTCCTGGAGTGGCCTAGCCAGTCTCCAGACCTTAATCCCATAGAAAATATGTGGAGGGAGCTGAAGGTTCGAGTTGCCAAACGTCAGCCTCGAAACCTTAATGACTTGGAGAAGATCTGCAAAGAGGAGTGGGACAAACCTGGTGGCCAACTACAAGAAACATCTGACCTCTGTGATTGCCAACAAGGGTTTTGCCACCAAGTACTAAGTCATGTTTTGCAGAGGGGTCAAATACTTATTTCCCTCATTAAAATGGAAATCCATTTATAACATTTTTGACATACGTTTTTCTGGATTTTTTTGTTGTTATTCTGTCTCTCACTGTTCAAATAAACCTACCATTAAAATTATAGACTGATCATTTCTTTGTCAGTGGGCAAACGTACAAAATCAGCAGGGGATCAAATACTTTTTTCCCTCACTGTAGCTGGATACTCACTAGCACATGGGCTTGTGCGTTCATTTTCTATAATGCCTGCTACAAGAAGTTAGTCATTTAGAAGTGCAGTATTTATTTTATTAGGCTACTTATCGTTAATACAGTCTTTGGTGTGCTTATCAATGCATGATCACCTTTTCTCCCACTCCTATCGATAAGAGAATGACTAAGTCATACAAAAGTGTTACTGTGGTGGTTTCAAATGCATTCTGTCATTACTAAATGCATTCTGTCATTACTAAATGTGTAATGTGCTAGGTATTTTATAATTTATGCCATGCATTATACTGTACATGTTTTTGTGTTCTATGTGACTATGGGTCTTGTATCTATCAACCCGTCATGAAGTTCCCTCTCAGGAAATACAAGTGATTTGAATTTAAGCTAAAGATTGGAAATTAATTGAACGACGGCGGGGTCTCATTTCAAACACTGTAGCCGTTTGTCAGTGACAACAACAAACTTTGAAGTTTGCGATACAACACAAACAGATCTGTGATAAAGCTACTACAGGCAAATGTAATGCTATAGGTAACTGCCAGAATAAAGGAAACACCAACATGAAGTGTCTTAGAGATAAAGCTACTACAGGCAAATGTAATGCTACATGTAACTGCCAGAATAAAGGAAACACCAACATGAAGTGTCTTAGAGATAAAGCTACTACAGGCAAATGTAATGCTACATGTAACTGCCAGAATAAAGGAAACACCAACATGAAGTGTCTTAGAGATAAAGCTACCACAGGCAAATGTAATGCTTTAGGTAACTGCCAGAATAAAGGAAACGCCAACATGAAGTGTCTTAGAGATAAAGCTACTACAGGCAAATGTAATGCTACATGTAACTGCCAGAATAAAGGAAACACCAACATGAAGCGTTTCAATAGAGATAAAGCTACCGCAGGCGAATGTATTGCTCCAGGTAACTGCCAGAATAAAGGAAACACCACCATAAGGTGTCTTAATAGGGTGCTGGGCCACCACGGGCCTTCAGAACAGCTTCAATGCGCCTTGGCATAGATTCTATAAGTGTCTGAAACTATTGCAGGGATGTGACACCATTCTTCCACGAGAAATTCCATCATTTATTGTTTTGTAGACGGTGGTGGAAAACAGCTGTCAAGTGATTAAAAAAACGAATAAAGTTAACTCGCAGGATTTGCTGTGATTAATTGCAAATTATTAATTTGTTCAAACTGAGCCATAATTTTATTATTATTATTTTTGTATACAAAAAAACATTACAAGATGTCTAAAAACGCTGACTCGGGCAGAGAATCTCCCATAAGTGTTCAATTGAGTTGAGATCTGGTGACTGAGACGGCCATGGCATATGGTTTACATCGTTTTCATGCTCATCAAACCATTTTATTAGGATCTCCTTTAGTCCTCATTTGGACTAATCTTCCAAGAGTCCTTAAACATTAAAATAAAATGTATAATACAATCCCATGTCCACATTTAACACACTGTTACAAACAGACATAATACACTGCCATATTGACCAGATAAATACTCTCTGAACTGTTAGGCTGGTTCCTTCATCTACCATAGTCCTGCACAACCTTCACATGTATTATATTTAAGTGGTTCTAAAGTCTTGTATGAATGTATGTATTTAAAAGGTTTCTGGTTTGCTCACATAAATTATTCAATTTCTGAATCTAAATGTTATTTTGCCCATTTCTCTTTCCTGCCGGGATAAGATAGATGCTGGACAATCTATTCCTAGTATTGATTGAATGTCTGTCTCTTACCAACTGAATACTGTTGTGAATGGAGTTTGGCCGTTTTAAATGGTGTACATTGTGAAAGGAAATAAACATGTTATTTTTTTCTTCAATTATCTTGTTGATTGATGACCACCTGAGAGCATTGTGAATGACAACATCTCCACCTTAAAATAATCCTTGCTGCTTTGTTTGGTGCAATCTGCAGCCTCCTCATCTCACTTTTTCATTCAGTAACCACTCGCGCACCGTGGATGGGGGCATTGTCATCCTGGAAGAGACCACTCCCATCGGGACAGAAATTATTCACCATAGGTTCAAGGTGATCACTGAGAATGGCTGTGTATTTATTGGCATTTACCTTGCCCTCTAAGGGGTTGAGTGGACCTAAACCAAGCCAGGAAAATACACCCATGCCATAACAGAGCAGGCAGAATGCGAATTTACTAAAGTGTTTGCTTTATTTTGGCAGTTACCTATAGGTCTATGTAGGCTTATTAGTTTAGTGGTTCTTAATCCTGGCCCTGGGGACCCCAAGGGCTGCACATTTTTGTTTTTGCCTTAGCACTAAACACCTGATTCAAATCACCAAAGCTTGATGATGAATTGATCATTTGAATCAGCTGTGTAGTGCCAGGGGTTAGCGTTAACTTTCACAAATCTGCATTTAAAAAACACAGACCAAAAATGTGCGTTTTTAAACCATTTCACCTGCGTTTTTTTATTGAAAGGCAGCAGTGGGTTTTGCTTCAATAGAGTGATCAGGGGACGTTCAACTATAGTTTTTCATCACACAAAATAAATGAATGCAAAACAACCGGCAGAAAGCAGCTTCATTTAAATCAGACGACAACAGAAGTGCAACGCTATTTGGCTATCAGCCACATTTAGTAAATTAACTTACAATGACAGAGGAAGTTATTTTCTGCAAAGACGATGCATGGCCATAGAAAGAATGTAGTCAGCTACATTTCCTAATGTTTTGCTTGAAGTTAATCTTGCATTGTAACTTCCTACCAGAGAGAAACGTCACAGGCGAGAAGTACACGGTCAGAGTTAAGTCTGCTGATCGAATGCACAATGCCCCATTTGTGAATGCTGGAATTTGATTGGTCTAAAGATGAGAGCAAAGATTTCTCCTCATATTGGAGAAGTGCAACTGAAGCAAATAATTAGTATGAAGCCGAGCAGAAAATACAAATATGCGCTTTTTAGATCTGCATTTACAAAAACGCAGCAAGATATTTTCTATACGGTATCTGTTCTCTTTTCAGCGTGAAAAATGCAGAATTCTGCGTTAACGCAACCTCTGAGTGCTAAGGCAAAAACAAAAGATGTGCACCCCGCACCAGGATTAAGAACCACTGGTTTAGTTTCTTGGTATTTCAGCATTATTACAGTCTCTTAACAACAGTTGTAATTAAAAACACTGAATTACTTTGCCGTTACAATATAATGTTAAATAAATATAACACATTAGAAGTGAATGAAGGGTTGAATGAAGCGCTCCAGAATGGGATAATTTTGTTATATTCCAATCTGCAGTCATTCCCTACATGACCTGCGTCAAGATTAGCTACCTACCATGTAGAGGTCTCTAGTGCCCAAAAGCCTGTATTAGCATGGGCATCACCATTGAGGACTTTTACCATTTGAAAGTAGTCAACTAGGCGGGACTTCCTAGAATTCCACCCAGGTCATCAGGAAGAATCAGCCAATGAATTATACTCATGAGCAAACGTTCCATAACTGCAGGCTAACCTTGGCTTTATTCCTGTTGAAACAACACACTCCAGGTGGCAGTAAGCCCCCTTTCAGTTTGTTTACCAACTCATAGAGGTAGTAGAAATAAACAGACTTAATTCAAAATGGAGATGGCCTCAATGGAGATAGCCTCAATGGTGTTGCCCGTGCGCTCACAGATGCTTTAATGAGACAGATACAACGTTGCGATCTGTAGACATCTCTATACTCCCACCAACACAATCAGAGACTGGTTAGATCTGGTTCAGGGCATCGGAGCTGAATTCCACAAAGCCTGGTCTCTGCTCAACTCCGTTGGTTGAGTTAATCAGAAACTTCCTTCACCATGGAGTTGAGTTTAGTAACCTAGCTAGGTCAGGGAGAGATCTGTAGACCAGCCAACAGCAATAACAAGGCATTCCACTAGCGCTGAGCAAATCACCTTAATGTCTGTTATTTTTCATTTTTAAACAACTAATTGACCAACATTTAGTTTCGTTTTTTTTCTGTGAGCACAATGCACACATTCCGTCAGTAGAGGATGCATGGTTGTTCTTTAAAAGTAATTTCCTCTCAATCTTAAATAAACATGCCCCATTCAAAAAATACAGAACTAAGAACAGATATAGCCCCTGGTTCTCCTCAGACTTGACTGCCCTTGACCAGCACAAAAACATCCTGTGGCGTACTGCATTAGCATCGAATAGCCCCCGCTATATGCAACTTTTCAGGGAAGTTAGGAACCAATATACACAAGCAGTTAGGAAAGCAAAGGCTAGCTTTTTCAAACAGAAATTTGCATCCTGTAGCACTAACTCCAAAAAGTTTTGGGACACTAAAGTCCATGGAGAATAAGAGCACCTCCTACCAGCTGCCCACTGCACTGAGGCTAGGAAACACTATCACCACCGATAAATCTACAATAATCGAGAATTTCAACAAGCATTTTGCTACAGCTGACCATGCTTTCCACCTGGCTACCACTACCCCGGCCACCAGCTCCGCCTCGCCTGGTTCACCAACTACTTCTCAGATAGAGTTCAATGTGTCAAATCGGAGGGCCTGTTGTCTGGACCTATGGCAGTCTCTATGGGGGTGCCACAGGGTTCAATTCTTGGGCCGACTCTTTTCTCTGTGTATATCAATGATGTCGCTCTTGCTGCTGGTGACTCTCAGATCCACCTCTACGCAGACGACACCATTTTGTATACATCTGGCCCTTCATTGGACACTGTATTAACAAACCTCCAAACGAGCTTCAATGCCATACAACACTCCTTCAGTAGCCTCCACTGCTCTTAAACACTAGTAAAACTAAATGCATGCTCTTCAATCGAACGCTGCTGGCACCCACTAGGTGTCTGGTTAGACTGTAAACTCTCCTTCCAGACTCACATTAAGCATCTCCAATCCAAAGTTAAATCTCTATTTCGCAACAAAGCCTCCTTCACTCATGCTGCCAAACATGCCCTCATAAAACTGACTATCCTACCGATCCTTGACTTCGGCGATGTCATTTACAAAATAGCCTCCAACACTCTACTCAGCAAATTGGATGTATTCTATCACAGTACCATCCGTTTTGTCACCGTTTATACTACCCACCACTGTGACCTGTACGCTCTTGTTGGCTGGTCCTCACTACATATTCGTCGCCAAACCCACTGGCTCCAGGCCATCTATAAATCACTGCTGGGCAAATCCCCGCCTTATCTTAGCTCATTGGTCACCATAGCAACACCCACCCGTAGTATGCGCTCCAGCAGGTATATCTCACTGGTCATCCCCAAAGCCAACACCTCCTTTTGCCGCCATTCCTTCCAGTTCTCTGCTGCCAATGACTGGAAGGAACTGCAAAAATCTCTGAAGCTGGAGACTCTTATCTCCCTCACTAACTTTAAGCATCAGTTGTCAAAGCACCTTACTGATCACTGCACCTGTATACAGGCCATCTGTAATTAGTCCACCCAACTACCTCATCCCCATATTGTTATTTATTTTGCTCATTTGCACCCCAGTATCTCTATTTGCACATCATCTCTTGCACATCTATCATTCCAGTGTTAATACTAATTGTAATTATTTTGCACTATGGCCTATTTATTGCCTTACCTCCATAACTTGCTACATTTGCACACACTGTATATATATTTTCTGTTGTATTTTTGACTTTATGTTTTGTTTTACCCCATATGTAACTCTGTGTTGTTGTTTTTATCGCACTGCTTTGCTTTATCTTGGCCAGGTCACAGTTGTAAATGAGAACTTGTTCTCAACTGGCTTACCTGGTTAAATAAAGGTGAGAAAAAAACAACAACAAAAAACAAAAAAACATTGCAGTTTCTCTAGAGATAAATCCAGCCTGAACTATGAGATGTAATAGGGAGTTGTAGTTTCCAACAGGCCAATATTCTACATAGTTTAGCGCATAAAATAATATAATAATAATAATAATATGCCATTTAGCAGACGCTTTTATCAAAAGCGACTTACAGTCATGTGTGCATACATTTTTACATATGGGTGGTCCCGGGGATCGAACCCACTACCCTGGCGTTACAAGCGCCATGCTCTACCAATTGAGCTACAGAGGACCACGTGGTAATTAACTACAATGACCATAATCTATTGCGCATCTACTTGTCTGGTCTGTGTTTATTTTATGCCTGCTGCAGTTGATCATGAGGGGATATAGAGTGATTGATAGTTGCTAAATGACTAAAATGTAAATGTATTCAGCAGTCATAAAAGTATGCCTTATTTACTTTGAAGAACTACAAAATAGTGATTTTGTCAGACAGCATAGGCAGCAGCTCTATAGAGATGAGATGACTTGGAATGAAATAAAGTCATAAAATAAAACAAATGTAATATACACAACTGAAATATTTTATTACAGTAATGTGAATAAATTATGGTTAATAGGTGATAAGCAGTAATGGGAAGTCACTACCATCATGGGACATTCAACCCAAATAATCGAAACCGTGAATATTTTTTAAATAATCGAACCGACCTCGAAAAGCACTAATCGCTCAATAGTAGCGGGGACTTATTGTGTGTAAGCCATGTACATGTCCGGAGAAGGGTGGAGAATGCTAAAAGCTAGCTACTAGCCACTCTTCTCCCGACGTGTACTTTCCTTAAACACGATTAATTACCGCTACTGATAGCTAACGCTAGCTAGCTATCTCCATCCAGCCGCTACTATTGTGGTAACACCAATCCGATGCTTGTTTTAAATCTGGGAGTGCACACTACGGGAAAGGGCTGGATAACCGGGACCCAACTAGTTAGCTAGAGAACGTTGCGTTTGCTAGCAACCAAAGTCTTGGTTCTCACCTCATCCATCTTGAATCCTTCAGGAATTGTTGAAGCAGTTAGCTAAATGCTGTAGCGGAAAATGAATTTCTGAAATCGTCCACGTTCTTCCCCTGAAATGAAATGTTCACCACGAGGTCACGTTAGCTAGTTAGCTATCGAATTAGTAGCCTCGCTACTAGTAGCACTTGCCATTACAATTTGACAAAGGTTAGCTAACTAGGCTAACGGCAGCCATGAAGCTAGCTAACTGCTTTGCTAAACCCGATTACAAAACTATAAAAATAGTAGTTGGAAATATTGCCCGCTCCGTGTTTACAGTT